TCTTCTGACATCCTTTAACTCTGCAGTCAGAGACGCTAGGGTTTCCTATTTCTCCAACCTAGTGTCCCAGAGCAAAGGGAACCCCAAGGTGCTGTTTAACACCATCAGCAGCATCATCTCTCCTGCCTCTCCTACAGCTCCTTTTCTGTGGCCGTCTCCAAGTTTAGGTCCTCCACCACCTCTCTTACCCATGGTGTCCCGCAAGGTTCTGTGCTGGGGCCTCTACTCTTCCTCCTCTATCTGCTTCCTCTTCAGCACATCCTGAGCTCCTTCAAAGGGATCTCCTACCATCTTTATGCAGATGACATCCAACTGTACATCTCCTTTAAGCCCCATGAGATGTCTAAGCTGCAGCTGTTACACACCTGCTTAGACTCTATCAAAGCCTGGATGGCTGGGAGCTTTCTTCAGCTGAATGAAGATAAGACTGAGATCCTCATCTGTGCCTCAGACAAGCTGGTTCCCAAAGTCAGAGACTCTCTTGGTCAGCTTGCTTCCCACATCAAACCTTCTGTCAGGAATCTTGGCGTGACCTTTGACCCAGCTCTCACCCTGGTTTCTCATGTCAGTTCTCTTGTTCACTATTCCTTCTTCCATCTCAGGAACATTGCTAAGCTGAGTCCCATTCTGTCTCGCTCTGAACTTGATACAGTTCTCCACACCTTCATCTCCTCACGCTTAGACTACTGTAACTCTCTTTTCACGTGTCTGAGCAGAACCTCCCTGAACCGTCTACAGGTGGTTCAGAATGCCTGTGCTCAGCTTCTGACCAAGTCCTCCAAATACACCCACATCACCCCGCTTCTCCTCCAGCTTCACTGGCTGCCAGTCAACTTCAGGGTTCATTTCAAGATCCTGGTTCTGGTCTATAGGGCCTTACATGGACAAGCACCATCTTACATTGGTGATCTTCTTAGTCCCTACACCCCCAGCAGGTCCCTGAGTTCCAGTGATCAAAGCCTACTGACTGTGCAGCGCACCAGGCTAAAGACCAAAGGTGACAGATCAATTGCTGCTGTGGCCCCCAGACTCTGGAACTCTCTCCCCCTGAGCCTGAGATCAGTGGACTCAGTGGTCTCCTTCAAAAAGCAGCTGAAGACTCACTTGTTCAAGCTGGCTTTTGTATGACCTTCTTCACCACTCTGTCTTTATTCTGCTCTCCCCACCTATTCCACCTTCCTCAGGATCCACTGATTTCCCTCTTTCCTATTCACTCTCTCTCTTTCTTAACATTTTTTCTTTTAAATCGCAATTGCTTATTCTTGCTCATTTTAAATATATTTTTAAACATTTTCGAAATGCTTTTTTATATTTTTACAATTTTCATATTTTGTGTTCTTGTTTTTGTGAAGCGCCTCGTGATTTTTATCTTGAGAGGCGCTATAGAAATGATATTTTCTTCTTTTTCTTCAGACACAGTACACACACACACACACACACACACACACACACACACACACACACACACACACACACACACACACACACACACACACACACACACACACACACACACACACACACAAAGTCCACAGCACAATATCATAATTTATGCGTCAAATAATACAACTACAAACACTGTTGGATCTGTGTTATTATTATTTAATTTTCTGTTATTTAATAACATACTATTTTATACATTTAGTATAAGTAGTATGTTAATTACGCACACACACACACACACACACACACACACACACACACACACACACACACACACACACACACACACACACACACACACACACACACACACACACACACACATTAAATCCACATTAAAATATCATAATTTATGCATCAAATAATACAACCACAAACACTGTTGGATCTTTATTATTATTATTTACTTTTCTGTTATTTATTAACATACTATTTTATACATTTAGTTACTTATTCCATTTTAGTCACATGAAGGCGTCATATTCTAGCTACTCACACACACATCTATGGGTGCACTAAGGTTTGTTTCATGGAACGTACATGGAGCTGGCTCGAGAGAGAAAAGATTAAAGATTTTTGATCAGTTAAAGAGAGTGCAAGCAGGCGTAATATTATTACAAGAGACTCATAGATCTGCCACATCTGCAGATGAACTTAAAACACCTGAGTTTCCCAGCATGTCCTCTGCCTGCTATAACTCTAGGCAAAGAGGTGTAGCTATTTTAATACGCAAAAACATCAATTTCACAGTATTGGACACAGTTTCTGCTCCAGAAGGTAGATTTATAATGTTAAAAATATCTGTACAGAACCAAAGCTTATGTATTGTCAGAATATACTGTCCAAATATTGATGACCCTTCATTCTTTCAAAAAAAATTCTCTGTACTCTCCGAACAATTGGCCTGTCCACTTATACTTGGAGGCGATTTTAATTTTTGGATGAACTCTTTAACAGACAGGCTCAGTACAGCTGGGACTAAATGCAATTGGCAATCCACTAACATAGTTAAACAGTACATGAGTGATTATGGGTTTTGTGATGCATGATGATCTCTTCATCCTAACCGTAGAGTATAGTTTTTCTTACACGTCCATCACTCTCATTCACGTTTGGATTATTTTCTAGTCAGCAGCTCATTTTTGGGTGACATTTCAGTTACTGAGATACATCCTATAGTTGTTAGTGACCATGCTCCAGTTTCTTTAACTCTGGTAAATTAGAAGTTAATCCCACCAAGCAAAAACTGGAGGTTTATTACATCACTGCTTAAAGACAAAGGTTTTATAGAATTTTTCAAAAAGGAGTGGGCTTTATATTTAGAACATAATGACCTGCCTGGAGCATCAACATGTGTTCTCTGGGAGGCAGGAAAGGAAGTGATGAGGTAAAATAATCTCTTTCTCATCACATATGAAAATAAAACTGAAAAAACATTCAGGAGTTAGAAGAAATAATTAAGTCTTTAGAGGCATCCATAGAAGAAGAGTTACCGAGCAAATTATGTAAAGCTAAATTAGAACTTCATGGAATTATTGACAAAAAGACCATTTTTAGCACAAAGACTACGAATAGAAAAGTTTGAACATAGTAATAAGTCAGGTCAATTTGTAGCTAACCAATTAAAAATAAATAAAGAGAAAACTACCATATCTGCTGTTAAAGACTCAACCGGGAATATAGTTTATGACCCTGAAAGCCTAAACAACCCTTTCAGAGAATTTTACCAAACTTTGTACTCACCACAGATAAACCCATCAGATAACGAGATCAATGAGTTCCTTGACAGGATATTACTTCCTAAATTATCAGACAGCCAAGTTACAGTCCTGGACTCACCACTAACATCAGCTGAGCTCCAGGAAGCCCTTAAATCCTTGACTAATAGGAAAGCTCCAGGTCCAGACGGGTTTCCAGCAGAGTTTTACAAAGAGATCTGCATCATTCTGGCTCCTACATTTTTCAGAATGGTAAGTAAAATTGAAGAGAGCGGCAGATTACAGCCAAACATGAACTCAGCCAATATTAGTCTCTTGTTAAAACCAGGCAAAGACCCTGCATTTCCTACCAGCTATCGCCCAATTTCTCTTATTAATGTTGATCTCAAAATAATTTGTAAAGCCCTGGCAAAAAGATTAGAGAAGATAACCTCCTTCATAATACACCCTGACCAAACTGGTTTCATCAAGCGTAGTCATCCACAAACTCACGTAGATTACTTAATTTGATAGATTTCTCTTACAGCAGAAACATAGAAACTAGTATATTATCTCTAGATGCAGAAAAGGCTTTTGATAGAGTTATCTGGAAGTTCTTATTTGCAACTTTACATAAATTTGGTTTTGGGAACTTCTTCATAAACTGGCTCCGCCCCTCTCTTGTCCCATGTGTCCAAGACATGTGGCCTCAGATCAGATGAAACAACAACAAAGTCGATTATCGAGCTGCGGCCTAAGGTATCCTGGTGCCAAGAGCACATTTGAACACCAGTCCAATAACAAAACACGGCTCGAATTCAGTTCGCTGGGCCGTTCCTCCCAACCACACCTCTCTAGGTCTTTCTGTCGTTGCCCACGTGAGCATTAAAGTCCCCCAGCAGAATGAGGGAGTCACCGGAAGGAGCACTTTCCAGCTCCCCCTCCAAAGTCTCTAAAAATGGTGGGTATTCTGAACTGTAGTTTGGTGCATAATCATTCAAGAATCAGCTAATAAATCCACCATGGAGTGGTTGTCAAGCTTAGGTAACCATTAAATTTTGATTCATTTATCATTAGTTCCTCATTAGGTGAGCCAATTTTGGGATCGTTATTGTAAAGTGTTACCAAGACATTTGATTTGGCAGATCCCCGGCTACGTGTGGACAGGGCCTAAATCTCACACGAGAAGGGTATAATCTACTACCAATGAAAACGGAAGTACATGCTTGTATTGTGAAGATGAGTTGTCATGGTGATTCAGTAGTAAAGAGTTGAGTGGAGAATAAATTGCTGTTTTTTTGGTAACGAATGTCTCCTCTGATCCTTCATCCATCTGCCAACTCATACAACCAACAATTATGTAATCATTCAAGAATCAGCTAATAAATCCACCATGGAGTGGTTGTGAAGATGAGGCAACCATTAAATCCTTATTCATTTATCATTCGTTCCTCATTAGGTGAGCCAATTTTGGGATCATTATTGTAAAGTTTTGACAAGACATTTGATAGGTTTTGGAAGTATTTGTTCATTTATCATAAATTGCTGCCGAGGCTATGGGCAGAGCACAGCGTCAGGGACTGAACAAGAACAGGTTAGCTGTTCCTGTGTTCTTAAAAAGTTAAGTTACTGATCCATTTAAAATATTCACACAAAATAGATTTGTATTTCATTATCTGACTAGTTAAAAAATAAAATACGTCTTGTTTAAATTTTCACAATGTCACTATTTTCCTTAAATTTTTTAATTATTTAAAAAAATTGTAATAACACTGATGATAAAGAGGAATCAACTTGTGAATGCAATGCATGTTAATATAGTAAAATAACATTTTAAAAATAAGCTTATTCACACATTGGAAAGTATCTATGTGAACTAATGGTACTTTCAATGTGTAAAAGTAGCTCACACTCCAAAAAAGGTTGGAGATCCCTAAAATATATAAATAACTTTTGAGGTTTAACTTTTTTGTTGTTTCAAGTAAGGGAGGATGGTGTCCTAAAGCCCCCTACGTACGGGCATCTACCAGTCCATGGAGACTCCTGTCTAACATCATATGTTGGCCTGTTATTTGTTGCCTTGATGTTTTTGGCCACAAGGGAAGAGTAATGTTAGTGCTCAGATCAAATAAGAATTGTGTAATGAAGGAAAAGTATAAATTATCTGTGTGACAGGGTTCTGCTCAGACAGCAGTATCCATCTGATGATGGAGATACAGATTGGAGCTGAGTTCTGTTTTCCACAACTCAACAGGTCCTGCAGGAGGCCAACACCTCACTGGTCTGAAGCTATCCTACTGAACATCGTGTTGTCCTTCTTCTCTCTGATCACAGCAGTTCTAAACCTCCTCATCATAATCTCAGTCTCCTATTTCAGGTAGATATTAAAAAGAAAAACATCACATTTATCAATATATTTATCTGATCAGAATGTGATTCTATGCTGCATAAGTTATTTTAACCTCACTGACTGACTTTGTTTCTTTGTAGGAGGCTCCAGAAACCTGCTAACATCCTCATCCTCTCTCTGGCTGTGTCAGATTTCCTTGTTGGCTTTTTAATCATTCCATTTGAAATCTTTAGAAAGACAAAATGCTGGATACTCGGTAATATCACATGTTTATTTTACTATTATGTTTCCATTTTGTCTCTCGGTGCTTCAATTGGAACCATTGTTCTCATATCAGCTGATCGCTATGTGGCTATTTGTTACCCTCTGCATTATCCCACCAGAATAACCTTACCAAGAATTAAACGCTGTGTTTGTCTCTGTTGGAGCTGTGCTGCTTTCTATGTAACTTGCTTGTTAAAAGATGAGCTGATTGAGCCAGGCAGGAGTAATTCCTGCATTGGAGAATGTACAATATCTGCAGATTATATTGTAGGAACTTTAGATCTGTTTATAACATTTTTATTTCCAGTTACAGTCATCATAGTTCTGTATATGAGAGTATTTGTGGTGGCTGTGACTCAGGCTCGTGCCATGTACTCTCACAATAGAAGTGTCACCCTTCAGCTTTCAGTGCAACAACAAACAAAGAAATCAGAGCTAAAAGCAGCCAGAACACTGGGTGTTCTTGTTGTTGTGTATCTGATGTGTTTCTGTCCATATTACTGCTGCTTTTATTTTATAGATAGTTTAGCAACTACAACATTTGTATCATTCTTATTCTTTCTCCTTTATCTTAACTCCTGTCTAAACCCTCTGATCTATGCCATGTTTTATCCCTGGTTCAGAAAAGCTGTTAAACATATTGTAACTTTACAGATCCTGAAGCCCGGCTCCTGTGAGGCCAACATACTGTAGATACTGTGGACTGAGGGACGTACAACCTCCTGAACAAATTACAATTCTAAAATCTAAAGTCCAATGAAGGAGAAAAGTTTTCTTCATTTCCTACATTATAAACATAAATGTATGTAGAGAGCAGGGCCGGTTCTAGGCTGGCATATTTGAGGGGGCAGACAGAATTGTGAAGGGGGAAGATTGTGGTGATAGGAACAGGAAAAGGTGTATTGGTGGTGCAGGTATTCCAGGAACTTTTAGTCGTGTGATTGGATTGTATTTTGTTAGACTTTGATCTTCCCTTTTTTTCTCTGTCCCTGAAACCCTTATTCATGTATTCATCACATCATAAATAAACTACAGCAATTGCATCTATATGGTATCCCACCCAAAGCCCTCACCAAACTTCAAGACATCCAAAATTGTCCTGCCTGTCTCCTAACCAGTGACCACGTCACCTCCATCGACTTCCTCTCTCTCAGTGCATAACATTCAAAACTCATTCAGAACTCACTCCCACAACCTCTCCACAACTGCTCTGACCTCTCCACCATCAAAACTCTGTTTTACAGTTTATGTTTTATTTTTGCATAATCTGTCTGTTTTACCTTGTCTTTTTACAAAATCTCTAATGTTCTTCATTAATAAAAACTATTATTCCATTTTGTGACCCGAGACCTGTTTTACTATGAGAAAATCATTAACATCAGATCGACCATTCATTCCTCCATGTCAACATGCACAATCAGACCACAGCTACAGCAACACAGGTTTGTGGCCAGTTGTCAGTGTGATTACTGCTAAATCACTGGGGGACATAATAACGATCTTAAATTCATCTACCTGCTGTCTCGACACCCTGCCAACTAAACTTCTTTTAAATGTTTTTAGCTGTGTTAAACCCCGACTATGATGAAAAATTTGTGAAGGGTGGGGGTTACAAGAAACAAGGGAGTGGAATTAAAACTTGTTTGATTTGTCATAAAAGGTTATAAAAACAAGAGAGCAAACACACTGTAAAAAAAAGTCCAGTGAACTTAAAAAAGTAAAGCAACCAGTTGCAATACAATTTTAAGTTCAGCCAACTTTTTAGGTGCTTGCTTTTCTGTATTAACTTAACATTTTGCAAGTTAAAACATTCAACTGACTTAAAACTTTAAACTCTCCAAACAAATTGCAAGTTGGATTTTTAACAGTGCAGATGGTGAGCCTTAGTAAATTAAATGCCAAATGAAAACAAGAATAAAATGTTAACTTTTAAAAGACCAATTATCGACATTAAAAACACCATGTTAAAACTTTGTTAAAGGTTTTAACGGTTTTAACCCACTAGAAGGCATTTTTTCAACTCACATAGTGGAGGATTAAACTCCTCCACTTGGGGCAGAACCTCATCCCCTTTTCTAATTCAACAGGAGCTGACTCTCATCCCAGCTGCTTCACGCTCGGCTGCGAACCTCTCCAATAAAAGCCGAAGATCATGTTTTGATGAAGCCAACAGGACCATATCATCTGCAAGAAGCAGAGACCCGATCCTCTGGCCATCAAATCGAATGCCCTCAACTCCTTTGCTGCACTTAGAAATCCTGTCCATAAGTTATGAACAGAATCGGTGACAAAGGGCAGCCTTGGCAGAGTCCAACTCTCACTGGGAATGAGCCCGACTTACTGCCGGCAATGTGGACCAAGCTCTGACACCAGTCATACAGGGACCTAACAGCCCACATCAGAGTGCCTGGTACCCCATTCTAGCAGAGTACTCCCACTCTGGGTGGATATCATCCACCCCAGAGCCTTCAATTCAATTTTTCAATTCAAGTTTGTTTTTATAACGCTAAATCAGTGACCCAACCATGAGGCTACCACAGCTCAGCAGAACACCATTGTAGCTTTATTTGGGGAAAAAACACTTAGAGAAAAAATAAAGTTTATCTTCTCAGGCTCAAAAAAAGTTTTGATAAAAGGACGAACAACTAAGTCCTTCAGGGGCACGTCAGAGTAAAAAAATGCTCATGAAATACGCATGTGGATTAACCAGGTAGGTAGGCAGGAGACAATGCAGATAAAATACAAAGTGCAAAAGAAAGTAATTGAGAGTGGAAAGTGGTCAGTAAGTCTTCCAGCAGTCTAAGCCTACAGCAACATAACTACAGAAATAATTCTGGATAATCAAGCCTTTTAGATGGAGACACGTTAGAAGCAGGGCAAGGGAAAGCCGTCTTTACCGACTGTACACTCCACCTCCCTTTACTCCCCCACTTGTTCAGATATGGGCTAACATCAGATTTTAAGCATTGGCCCTATCAAATAAAAATGTTTTAAGCCTTGTTTTTAAAGTAGACAAGGTGTCTGCCTCACGGACTAAAGCTGGGAGATAGTTCCACAAGAGAGGAGCCTGAAAGCTAAAAGATCTGCCTCCCATCCTATTTTTAGATATTCTGGGAACCACCAGTAGGTCTGCAGTCTAAAGCAAAGTGCTCTGTTATGAACATAGGGAGCAATCAGATCACTGATGTATGATGAAGCCCATGGCACCTCTTGACCCTCTTTTTTTTTCCGTAACTGCACTTCTCTGGGTGGCTGCATGTTGGAAGAGCTCTGTTGACTATATGTTTTACTTTTCTGTTTCTGGTGATTTGAAGCTTGGAGGATTTGATCACTATTTTTTCACTTTTTTCAAGTTTTGAACATTTGTTATGATGCATAACCATGACATCAAGCTGATTTACAATACGGAGCAGCTGATTAACATTGGGAAGGCTGAAATAATACCTCAACTGAAGCCACAAATCCCAAATGAGCTAAAACGCAAGAAGTGTGGGTGCAGAGTGGGAGCAAAACGGAGACAGAGAAAGAGGAAATTCAAACCATCTCTTCCATCGATCATAATGGGCAATGTGAGATCACTGGCCAACAAGATGGATGAACTCCAAGCCCTTTCAGGGACTCAGCCAGAATATCGGCAGTGTAGTGTTATGTGTTTCACTGAGACGTGGCTGCAGGACCATATCCCCGGTTCCAGCGCCTCTCTGCCAGGATTCCTGACTGTACGAGCAGACAGAGATCTGAAGAGGAGCGGGGAAAAAAAGGAGGTGGAGTGGCAGTGCTTGTCAACAACAGAAGGTGCCATCCAGGTCATGTGTCAGTGAAATGTCATATCTGCAGCCCAGATGTTGAACTCTTGGCAGTAAGTTGTCGCCCATATTATTTGCCTAGAGAGTTCTCCAGTGTTGTCTTGGCAACCGTTTACATTCCACCTTCAGCCATTGCTGAAAATGCATGTGATGCCATCAGTTCCATTGTCGCTAAGCTACAAACCCAGCACCCCAATGCATTTGTGGCTATATCTGGTGATTTTAATCATGCCTCGCTCTCTGCTACACTTCCAACATTTCAACAGTTTGTCAGCTACTCCACCAGAGAAAACAAGACATTGGATTTGTGTTATGCAAATGTAAAGAATGCATACATGTCAAAAACAAGACCTCCTCTGGGACAATCAGATCATAGTCTTGTTTTTCTCTGCTCAGAATACAAACCTCTTGTACAGAGGCAACCTGTGACAAGAAGAACTGTGAGAAAATGGTCACAGGACGCTGAAGAAGCCCTGCAGAGTTGCTTTAAGACCACAGATTGGATGACTCTCTGCCAAGGATATGAAGAGGACATCAGTGCCATGACTGGATGTGTCACTGACTATATAAACTTCTGCGTGGACAATATCATACCCACCAGAACAGTGAGATGCTTCTCTAATAACAAACCCTGTATCACCAGTGAACTGAAGAATCTGCTAAATGAGAAAAAAGAGCCTTCAAGGGAGACATTGAACTATTGAGGAATACACAGA